CTAGTGAACCAGCTCCTTCATGGTGTATCACTTCATTAGTTTGGGGAAACACTTGTTTACTAGGGAAAAAAATTTACAAAACTTGTTATTTTACAAGTTGAGGACTTTGGTGACCAATGACCTCTAGCTGTCTTCACTGCAGTCTGATCACTGTGCTTGATGCTGTGGACAGGTTCCTGTAATGTTTGTAATCTCACTAATAAAGCTCTGCATTTACACAGGAAGAATTCCCAACATTTTAGAATGCAACAATGAAACACACTGAGCAATAATGTGATGATGTACTATCACAAACACACATTTGCTTGGAAAGCCATTGCAGTTGTTGCAGCCCCTCTGTGCAGCGTTCTGCTTATGTGGGTACTCTCTTTAAGCACTCCATTACAATCTGGTCACTTGTTCAACAAAGGTAAGTTTAAATTAGTTTAAGCTGTGTACCAGGCTCAGACCTTGAGCCAAAGTGACTGAGATATGCCTAGAAAGGTCATCATGCCTTTCTTCAGTAGAATTGGGCCAAGGGGGTGATAGATTTGGTAAAGAACATTTGTAAATCTTATTGCTTCCACTTGAGAGTCTATAATCTCCAGTAACACATAAGTTTTAAAACTAATTTAAGAGTGTTCCCATAAAGGATTGATAGCCTTTAAGCATTAGATTGATTATCAGTCCTGTTTGTGTAACTAAACACTCTATGCAGAAAGAGAATGCTTCCTAGTCAGCAAAACTTTTGAGAAGGTTTTGAAGTTTATAGCTCTAAATTCAATGAGCGTTTTAAAAATGCAACCAAATGTTCTGAATTAAAGTCATAACATTGAAAAAGTAGTTATTATAAAAGTGAAAAAAAGTACTTTCTCTGGCTTGGTTTCTTACAGAAGACAAAGCACGACTACAAAGGTTCGTTGGCATGATGGCAGAACATGAAAAGTTTATTGAGAATGGGAACTACTTATAATAAAACATCAGGAATGGCTTTAATAGAACTTCCAAAATGCTTTTTTGAGACGTTTGGAGTTTGCATGTTCTCTCTGATTTCAGGTATATTAAAAAGTCCTACAAACATATTCAGCACTATTTAGCTTTATGTTCTATAGATATCATCATTTAATCTGCTTTTAACATTCTGTGGGAATAGTCTTAATGCTTGTTTCATTGTGAGTTTCAGATGAAAGTTGTGGTTTCTTGGGGTATCTTATATGTTACATGTTTTTTAAACATATTTTATGAAAATGCAATTTATTACCTGTCAAACCTGAGCAAGACTTCACTTTGGGGAGGAAGACAAAAACAAAGGTTAAGGTCAAAGGTATCTTTGACAGTGGTTTGCTGTAAATGGTTTTACCTCTTTGAATGTAGAAATCTGAATGCTACAATAAATTCATAATTTTTTTAGTTGGCTTATACATATTGTTTAGAAGTAATGTAGTAACATAGGTTGTCTTAGCCAGAATAATACTGCACCAGTTGTGACCAGCCAAGATGAGTGTGTTATTCAAGCTCTCTCACTTATTTATTTTAGAAAATTAGTTTGGCTGCTTATCAGGAAGTGACTTAAGAAAGGAAGCATAGTAATTCAATTATCAAACACTCCTTTTTCTAACTCTTGTAACAAAATGCATATGAACTCAGTGTAATTTATTTGCAGCTTCTTGTCTTCAATAATTCATTATGTTGCATGCATCATGCTTCACCCTAGAAAGTTTATCTGTGATGGGGGAGGCAGGGAATGACAAAATCTAAGAGCACCTAAAATATATCATTCTGTTGTAAGCAGTGATATTATTTCCAGGTGAAGTAGCTCAGTTATCTGTTTAGATGAAATAACTCCAGCTCTGGGCCTTGGACCCTTTGCTCCTGATTGTCTTGAGACAAGCAATCAGAAAATCTCTAGCTTGGGGACCGTATTGCCCCCAGGGCTGCTCTTGTTTTTTGTCAAACGCTGAGTTTGGATTGCTGACATTGCAATGTGTCCTCTAAAGATTGTTGTTAATACATATTAAGGAACTGAAAGAATGATAAAAATTGGAGAACATTCAGAGCGAGTCACTGTTCAAAGTTCACACTCTTTCTGTCAGTGAGAAGGAAAGCAGCCATATAAGAGTAAATTCACAAAAATACATGTCAGGCTGCAGAAGTATCTTTATTAAGAGGAAATCTAGCTTTGGAGAAGGCTTCTGATGTCTATACATTTTGGGGTTTATTTGCCAGCTTTTACTTTCTTTACTTCACACATACAAATTCACACAAAATAATTATCCATCCTATGAGTTAAAAAAAAAAACTCCAAACAAACCAGTGCCAGATTCGTCTATATTTTCATTTTGGTAGACAAGTCATCTTCATCCACTTTCAGTATTATGCATGGTTTCAACATGCAACTACCTAACCTCTATGAATAGTGTGACAGATAAGTTCATCATATATTGTCGAAGTTGGAAAGAACTCATTATTTTTTCATATCATTTTAAAGTACAGGGACCATCTGGGAGGTTTTGTGACAAAGAATATGTAGCCTCTCCAATATGCTTTCATGCATGGTCAGCAAAGTGTCAGCAAGATAAGTACCCATGCTGCAGGTAACATGACAAAACCTGTAAGCAGAGCCTAGCACTTCTGTGTCCATAGTTGGATAGCTATAATTCTGGGGACAAGTATAGAGAAACAATAATAGGTACTTTGTAGTAGGAGAGGAAAAAAAAAAAAAATCATCCAAAGGGCCATGTTGTATGAACAGACTCAAAATAATTAAATAAGTAAGAAAATATTTTCACTTCTTTAAAAAAATATCATTTGAAAGATAGCTATGTCAGATATTTTTCCAACAGTTAGTACTTTTCTATACTAATTCAAAGGAGTATGCACAATACAAATTCATGACTTTTTGGACTCTCCGTTGCAGCAGGCTAGAATCTGACAACTTCTTAGCACTTCAGAACACAAGGCAAGTGTAATATTATAGGGACTTAAAAACCTAAAAGAGGAAAGAGGAGATCATCAGAAAGACTCAGAATAACATTGGAAAGAAGCAGTAACACCAGCCTATAGCTAAACGATAACGTAATTTATGATACTGGATATAATAATCTTGCGAAAGAGGTGAAGGCACAAAGCTTTATAAGTAGGTCAAAGTAAGCATCCTGCCTGCCTCAGCTGACAGAGCATATCAATTCCTTTGGAAGGGTGCCTTTATGGAGAAGTTGTTGCCTAACCTAGCTGCATGAATCAGCAATCTGACACTGCTGCTTTGCAATGGGATGAGAGCTGGGCCGAGGTCTTAGTCACTAGTCTGAGTAGTTATGTTACTGGGACAACAAATGTAAAGTGTAAACTTCAGCTGTTCAGAGAACTTTCCAAGAAGAATATTGGCAAAGTCCTCCTATGAGTAAAACTGGGGTTTTGCAGCTTGTGCATCACAGACACTAACAAATCTTAGTGCTATTGTGATCAGATAAAGCAAAATATTTGTAATCTTATTGGGTTGGGCTGGGGAAAAGATGTCTGGAGTCATGGAAGGGCCACATTGTTTGAAACTGTCTGAAAGGAAAGAATTTCTATTGCAAAAATTGTCCTGGCAAATTCTTCTCCTTTCCAAGATAGACAGATGAGTGTTTTAGATGCAAACCCATGATTTTCAGATTGAATATAAACCTGAAATGGTTTAAGAATTTTAGTGTACTGACTGAAAGGACAAAGCCAAAAGCATCTGTCTCTTTTGAGTGACATCAGAAAACGTGAAACAAATCCACAGTTGTCTTATTTAGCCTAAAATATGAATGCTATATACAAGATTTTTTAATAAAATCTCAAACTATTGCTCAAGGTGGGAAACTCCAGAATGTTATTAAAGATGTTAAGACAGCTTGCTGTTTTATCTTGAAAGGTGTTACATGCCTAGCATTATATATGCTGTTATCAGGCTGAGTGCTGTATGAACTGGGGGAGGTGTTTGTTTAAAGCCATTGAGGTGATGTGTATTTTCCCTAGTACCAGAAATCAGATACATTTAAATAACCTGCTTAATTGCAAGTCTGTGTACCACATAATGCTAAAATACATGAGAAAAACTAGGAAGTAGACATTAGCTGGTTTTCAGCTGAAATGGGACAGGGTACCCACCAGAAGGGATTCATCGACAGTAGATCTGCCTTGTTGTATCCAGTGTGTAAATGGAATAGTATGGAAATGCTGGTAATGTGGTTTTACCGCTGAAAGGCCAGTGTTGTGGGAGAACTTTGTAAAGGCAGCTGGGGCTGGAGCTGCAGGCAGTAACATAAACTACTGAGGCATAATTCTTGAGTTCATTCAACACTGCTGTTACAGACTCATCATAAAGCTTAAACAGTGTGTTTGAAGGGAGTTAAGAATAACTAATCTGTCCAGAGCTTTTGAAAGATGGCTCTAGAACCTGAAAAATATAGCTGGTAGGAAAGTATGATTTTGCGTTTAGAGCAGATCTGAATATTTATAAGATAGACCTACTCTGCAAGCAGGGATTTAGAAACAGGGATCTGCACCAGCACTTAAAGCACGTGTGAGGAGAATAGCTTTAGGTTACTGAGTTTGAAATGATACTACATGTTGACAAAAAGAAAATGACGTGGAAAAATAAATCCAAGGTATATTGGCTATAATGACAAGAGAGGAGGGAATATGGGAAATTTCAGCATTTCAGAAGTTTAGGGTTTGTGTTCCATATTTTTTGATGACTGTTACGTATTTTGATTTTGTGTTCCGTATTTTATCATAGCCTCTTAAAAATAATGACCTTCTCTCCTGGAAAAATAACTTTTTAGAGAATAATTTCAACTTGTTCTAAAAGTAAACAATTGTTTCCTTCACTATTCCCTCAATATTTGGAAATTGTCATGCAGTAAATAACTTTTTTTAAAAAATTAAATGGATTAATTTCTTAGAGGGGAGTTTAGTTATTGTATTTCTTTTGGAGTGATGGAAATGGAGTTTAGTCTTTAAAATTTGTTTTATTGCCATTCAATTTAGATCTTCCATGTGCAAACAAACCACCGCTGATGGAGACCCCAGCAGCAAAATGAACAAACAGCACCAATTCTGCGTCCTGTTCCGTATGAAGGTCACTGATTTCCACCAAAGACTGCAGGCCTGGCGTATTTCTGTCAGATTTCTTATATGACATATTTTTCTCATTTGGATGTATCTTGGGCAATGACAAAGCATCATATACTAGAAGCTTGCACAGGTAAGGCAGTCTTGAAAATTTCAACGGATTTGATTGCTTAGAGCTTTTTGCTGATTGAAAGCTTGTTGATTAATGCATTAATTTGCTGTTATAGAAAATCATATTGAATGAACATGACCTAAATTGAGAAAAGAATGGGTTTGTTTCTCTGTCTCCAAGTAGGCTGCCTCTTGGGTGAAGATTATGATGTCAGATATGCTGAAGTATATTGAGTTCAGAAGAGTTGTATGGGAATAAAGCCAAAGTTGCTGGGGAATTGGCTTGAGTATATAGCCTTCTTTAATGCTCTTGCAAACACTGGTTGCAATTTCTGTGCTTTTGTGCATTTGTAAAATACACATACGCTCACACACAGATTTTAGTGACACAGTTCTTGAAAGTTTAAATATAAGCTTTCTGCAATGTTTTTTTCGTTGTGTCTTTCAGCAAACCCAGATATCTCCACTTCTTTTCTCTAGAAAAATGGTAAACCAGTATAGTACATTATCAATGTCATGACTGTTTGCTGAATGGTGGACCATAACAAATATGGAGTCATGTGGCACTGTACAAGAACAATAATTTTTCAGCATAAAATTATTAAAAAAGATTCTTCAAGGACCTACAATAAGGGATCCTGATTCATAGAGACAAAATGTGCCCTTGAAGTCTTGGAAGAGCCTTATTTTTTCTTCCCTGTTAGCTTCTGATGGGACGACTGTGCTTGGAAATTTGCCAGAGTAGATATCCAGAAAAATTATTGACGGTTAAAATGTTTGGTTCCAACATGAATAAAGCAGAATAATGAGAATAAAACCACAAAACCCTCTTATTCTGGAGGAACAGTGTCCAAAAGGGGAGTTCTGGAATAGCTGTTGTGGTAAACAGCCAGTGTAGGAAGCACTTGCTGCTAGGTACTGTAGTGGCTTTTTAAAAAGACCTTTATAAGGAAGAACATTAGATGTTGAAAAGAACATCTTGGCTCTTAGAGCAGAGCCAAGATAAACTCAGAGGAGGCAAGAAAACTAAATAACTAAATATTTAAACAAATGAGGACCAGAATATGTTTGGCTCTGTCCAAATTCACATGAGAGGTGAAAGTCTCAAAGAGCTCTTCTCTTGCAGATGTTCCTATATGGTTTACAGGAAAGAATAAGAGACTAGTGCAGCACTAGACAGTGTCAACTAAAAAGGAATCCTGAACTACTCTGCAGTCAAGATGGCTGGGTGGTCACAGACCTTCACTGAACTGACAGGTAAAAATAGATCTTGTCATAAGTACTTAGCTCTGAGAGTTCATGTCCTGCCTACGGCTTTCTGGAGCTCTGGCAGTTCAGGTGCGCCACTTACACTCCTATTGCAGGCTTCATTAGGTCTGAGGCTCACATTTTCTTGGGACTGCAGTCTTCAGAGGTAGTTAAACTACTCTGTGGATGAATTGACTTTGAATCTCAAAGCAAAGTGGAATAATTTTAATGACACATAGTTGGAGGAGATATAATATTGTAATTCCCTATCACATGGCCATGTTAAGTATTTACAGATGATGAAGAAAGCTTGCAAAAATAAAATGACAAGTTCAAAACCAGTGGGGAGAAGCAAGATCTATTTTACTGAATTGTGCTGTCATCACTGAAATGAGAACATGCTGCTCATATCGTCTATTTGTTACTGAGAGGATCTTATGTTCTCCATTTTTAAATGGCTATTTATACTGAAAAGCAATACTATACATCAGGAAAAGTCTGTTTGGCCTTTCTCTGCATTCAGAAGAACATACTGGATCGTATTTCATGTATCTTTAGTATATCTCTTGAGCTGCATTGTTTGAAAAATAGAATATGAAAATGATGATACAGTAATCTCTGCCAGGGTCATCCTTTAAATTTAAACATCACCCTTATGCAATGAAGTTTAATCATGGATTTGTAATTATCAAACAGCAGTGCATTATCTGGACTGTTCAAAGTCACACTGGGTCCAGAAAAGGAGATTCTCTACAGGATCCTGTAGATGATTGCAATGAAGCAGCAGTGATAAAAACCCTCTGATTTTAACAACAGAGGGGTACTGTTTTTGCCAGATACCTCTCTGTTCTTTCCAGCTGCACCCTGAAGCCAGATGTACATATAGTGAGTTTAATACAGCAAAATTTTCAGTGCATTATGGGCCTAGAAAAGGTAATAATTTGGGTATTAGGGTTTTCTGGAGGCACTGTTAATTTGTTTTTTTTTTTCATTGTGTATTTTAATGTACTTCAGAGCATATCCTTTCCCTTTGTGGTAATTCATATTCTCCAGTAAATGTAATTTATCTATGACTTCAAGAAAAGAAAAGAAAAGAATCTTTAAGTGAATGTTGCTAAACACCTGTTTAGCCTGTCTATCAGTATGGACAGATGACTATCATACCCTTGATTAGAGGACATGCTCCTACCGTCAGTTTTAAAATCTGGTGGTTTTCCTGCATGTAGGTGATAATAAACTTTCAGAGACTTCAAATAAATGCTTTGAAAGAAATGTATAGGACTTCAAACAAAGATAGTGCGGAACCTATATGAGAATTACAATGAACGCAGAGGTTGCAGGGTCAGCTGGTCAAATGCAGTCGAGTGCATTAGTTGAAATCTATGGACTCAGCAGTTAAGAAGCTGGTGAATGGAACATGCCAAAAAGGTGTTCCGTGTGTAGACTACGTAGATGCTACTGATGTGTGAATGTGACACCAATACTTATTCAAGGGTTAGGTGGAAGCAAGCAGAACAAACTTGATTTTTAAAAATTTATTTAATGATGCAAATCCACATTTATTTAATCCAAACCTATGCTAGTACTGTAGAATTTAATTGGTTACAGTTCAGAGTGAGCCATTGCTAGGATAATAATTTTCGTTATATTCATATATTGTTGTTTTCATCTGCAAGCAAAGGAGACATTATTAAAAAAGAAAGTATTTTCAACCTTTAAAAATATTATGCTCACCTCTAGACAGTTAGCTTGGTCTAGATTTAAACTTTTCTTAAGTCTGTGGGAACTTTTCCGCGTAGTCTAGAAACAGGGGATAGTGTTTAAACTCTGCAGTAAATACTTTCAACAGTAAATACTGCTTTAACAGAAATAGAGATGATTTCTTTATCTTAACATCCATTGTAGGGAACTGGGCTGGATGGCTAAGGGGTTCATCATTTAGAATCATTGTAGTTAAAGCCAGATGATATGATATATGATATGATATGATATGATATGATATGATATGATATGATATGATATGATATGATATGATATGATATGATATTATGTTGTGAATAAAAGAAGGAGACAGGGGAGTTAAGGAAGGAAAAGGAAAAGGAGAAACATGTGTGAAGTTGCTACCCTATCCTTTCTTTTAAACATATGGGCTGTGCCCAGTGATGCTCAATGAAGAAGCCTCAGGCTCCCTTTAAACTTCTCCTCTCATCAGCATATGTGTGTGCCTGGAAAGCAAGTGGAGAATGTCTGTAAATAGAGGGATATGCAGGTTTTGTTTATTCTGAATTACAATTCTTCTGCAGTGATAGAAGAGAGACTCTTTTTGGAGTTCTTAAACCACTGACAGTTCGTATCTGTACAATTTTTTTTTTTTTTTTTTTTTGGTAACACTCTATAGGCTTTGCATGCTAATATTGTCTTTGTGTATTTGCAGTATTGCCACTGGCTGGCAGACTGTTCATAGTGTCTATGTACGTTTAGTAATCACATGCTTTATTTATTTTATGCTTCTGCTGGATTAGAAAAATGATGAATTCTTAGATTGTCTGGCTTTCAGCTTGCAGCTGCCACTGCATGTAGAAACTGATGGGGATTCCTTCTCCCTTCAGTTGTTTCAACAGCATTAAAAAGGCATAAACAAGGAGTGATTGAGGAGAAGGCCAGAGATTCCACAACACAGCAAGGAGAGTACAGCCAGAAAACCATCTCAGTGTATTCTTCTGTGCAGAAAGGCACAATGCCAGTTATTCCACAGTGCCAGAACAACTTTTCTGAGGAAATGCATGTGAGTTAAAGACTCTCTGAGGCTTTGCTTCCTTCATTCCCAAGCCAAGTGTACCTCAATTGAAACAGAAAGTCAGTGAGTGCTAGTGACTGGCCTGCTACTCTCCTCCTGTGGTCTCAGTGCAGCTGATGGGGTTGGGAAAAGGGTGCTAGGCTGGAACAGTATTACCCCTGTTCCCAAGAACTTGGGAAGAGCTGTTGGAAGGGAAAGTATCTTGCAGGGATGTGGATACCCACTGGGTGCTGGTCTTTGGTGAATACTAAGAAATGAGGGGAGGATTTTATTTGGAAGAATAAAAAAATCATGCCAATGCTAGTGAAGTACTGAGGTCAGCAGTGGTGGGAAAGAGTGTAAGGTGTAAAGCTCAAAATATTTTGCTAGCATGCACATAAAAAGTGTATTTTACCACTTTAAGTGTGCTTATTTCTAAAAATACACATTGCAGGACTTTTTTTTTTAAAAAAAAATCTTTTTTCCATTATATAATGAAATAACATAACTGTATGTAGTACTGTTATAGTCTGCAACAAAAACACATTTCCAGAATTCTGGTGCTAACATGTTTCCATTTTTGCTTTCAATATTTTCTTATTTCTGTGAAAGCTTCCTTAATCAACTTTCTTCATTAAGAATTTCATATATTTCAATTACAGATCATTCTAATCAACTTTTTAATTACGGCTAGAGCAGGCTATTTACAGCACTCCTGACTGTTATAAACAAGACCCTGTGGGGAAAAATAAGAAAAAAAAGAGGTGACTAACTTTAAATGAAAATGAAAAATAGCTACTGTCATTTACTACTCTGAAAAAGAAAAGGAAACATTTTCTATACCTCGTAACAAATACAGACCTGGACTGGAAAAGACTCTGTGTCAGAGTCCAAACCTTGAAATTATCTGAAATTAAATTAATTTTACCACAGGTATTTGCTATGAAGATGTTGAAATAATTGATATTCTTTCTAAATTCTTGTACTTAGTCCATTGCATCACTGGGATAAAGTGTATCACAATTATGTTAATTTGAGATGCTTTTTGTAAGAGAGTTGAGAATATGAAAAACAAGACAGTAGCACTGTACTATATTACAAACCTCAGAATAGAAATACAACTTTATTATGATCTTTCAAGTATCTGAAATTTTGTTCTTGTTGCAGATTCTGAAGTATCCATGGTGACTATCTGCCCATAGAATATTGAAAGAGACCTTTGAACAAGGAAACTCCTGCTGTCATCATCTGCCTGAAATGTGACGGAAGGAGCCAGTGCTTGAAGGCAGAGTTAGGAGTCTGTTAGGAATTACAAGCCGGGAGTCCCTTGTGAGTAACAGAAACAAATTGGGCTATGGACACTGTTCTGTGGAATATATGGCCGCAGTTCCTTCCAGGAAACCTAGCCAAAACCACTTTTGAACTCTCTGTTAAATGCACGTATTTGGCTCATATTCAAGGTTAGCTAAGTAAAATGTGATTAAGTATTTGTGGCCCTAGCTCTTCGCTGATACTTAAGGTTTTACATCCAGTGGAACTTAGAGGACAAACTCATTACCATTTGTCTAAGTCTACAAGTATGTGGTATGAAAGGTAAAAATACTCTGATTTTAGAACTTTCTGTAGCACAATTATAAAAATAGGAACTAAGCAAATACATACTTGTATTCAAGCCTATTTTCTACTTTCATAATATGTGCATTCTTTACTTATGTATTTGCTGTAGAAATTTAGGATTCATTCCTAAACTCTGCCCCAAACTCTGGTGTTCTCCTGATTAAGGATACCAGTTAAACTCAGACACCAGAGTGAAAAGAGCATGTGTATTTTACTAGTGATAACCAATGTAACAGCATAATACAGAAAACATGCAGTAAGAAAAAGCAGAGTAGTGCACTTAAAGCAGCAAACAGGAAAAAACAGGGTAATGCATTAAATCATTAAATCAGCCCCGGTTACAGCGAGGGTTTGGGGAGCCTGTCCTGGCAGGTGGGAAATCCTACGCGGTACGTCCACTCGTAGGTGAGGCACCCAAAGTCGCTGTGAGCAGATCCAGCCTTATATACCAGAGATCGACAGGCCAGAATAGCTGGCACCTTTGTTTTGAGCAGAAAATTTCTGGTTTCATTCTCCTGTTGGATTCCACCCAAAGCCTGGCCAGGGCTCAGGGGGGAAACCAAGGGAGTTTCTAACAAGGCCGGATACTTGGGTTCTCAGCCTTGAACAAGGCTAAACGAGGGAAGGTGGATACATTCTCTCCTCACTCCTGATTATATTTTGTCTAAGCTGCATCTTTCATTAGCGAGTTTACACACTTTGTTAATGATGACATACCAAGTTAGCAGCTTCGGCTTGGGGCTGTTGTTGAGGCTTCAGTACTTCAATGCTTTAGCACTTTTTACATCAGCATAAGTGCGTTACCTACTAGCACAATGGTTTTCAGTTATAAAATATACAGGATTCATCTATAGGTCAACTCTGGCTTGGGCCGGTTGTCCAAGCCTTAGCGCTTCACTCTGGTCATAGTCCCATGGGGACTTCAAACCATGTCTCTACACAAAAGAGTATGCTCTTCCAGGTCAGAGAAAAGGGAACATTGTTACCTTACACTAAGAAACAGGAAGCTTGTGCTCTTGGGCAACTCTAGCTCCTGCAGAACTCTGTTTAGATTGCCTGTATCCCAGGTGGCTGCACCTACCATTAAAGCTTTAACCAGACAGCACCAGGGATTCCAGCACCCGTGTTCACCTCTTTTTCCTTTGTGGCATTTTTTTGGTTTGTCACTGATTGTAGAACCTGAATTTCAAGAAAAGCATGATCATCTTAAATTAAGAATTAACAATTATGTGTAAGCACTTTTTAAAAAAAAACATGCTTTAGAGTCTTTGATTTTCTGTATTTATATTCTGTTAAATTCAGATAAAACAATGTAGTAAGCTTTATGTGAGTTAGCACTAATCAGAAGATATCCTCCCTTTGTAACAGATTTCATTTAGAAAATGATGAGTTTTGTTGAGGGGAAGAAAACTTTGAAGTGGTCACTAGAATAGTAGTTGTAAATATCTTCATAATTTAGTGTGCACATTTTTATTTTGGGTAGTGATAAAACTGAGTTTAATTTAAAAAGAAGTCCTATATGTCATTTTTCTCAAATGAAGCATGATCTCTATGTGGATGGATTCAAATTCTTCATTTAGGCAATATGTTTTAAAAGTTATTAAAAATATACAGCTGTGGAATGATAGATTATAATTCTAATTATAAACAGGGATCTGTCAGCGCTGAACTTCCACTGAGGCTCTTGTTACAGTTTAGAGGCAGGCTCCTGAAAAAGAGAACATTCACTGTGTATAAGCATGAAGTGAGAGGGAAAAAACTTTTGCTTTGTTCGTTGATTATTATTTATAGGAGTAGTATATATAAAAATAGACCTTACTCAGGCTTTTCTGTGAGATTTGAAAAAGGTTGGGGTTTTTTATAAGGTTTTTGTGTCCAGATCTGTGTTTGTTTATGTGTTAAATGCATTTCATGTGTTATGCTATGTCAATATAAGAATTATCCTGTTGTTCCTAAAGGGTTTCTAAACTCTATATTAGTTGCTGCTGGCCTGATAGCTAGTGTTGTAGCTCTACATAATCTTCATAGCAGCCTTCAGCAGCCACATGCCTGTAGGCTGGAATGCGTCTGTCGGCACATCCACCTGCTTTCCCCCATCCTCCACTTGCCTATTCTAGTTTCAAGTATGGGTTTGAACACAAATTGTTGCGACAAACAAAACGTGATATGATGCAGAGTTTTGCATTTAGTTTCAGCTTGTCCTTTCTCAAAAGGTTAATAATGACTCTCAGTGAATAGAGAGCCCTCACTGTAGTCCGACACTAGCTATGATTACTCTTGCTCATGTTCACTAAGGTTTTAATTTTAACTCCGTTACTTTAATTCTAGTAATTTATCTTCACTGTGCAGTAGATGAGTTTGCAGGCTTAGTGTTAACAGTGGGAATTTCTCACTTTGGCATGTATTTGTTCTACTAGTTTGTGTCTTCCCTGCACTTTTTTTTTTTTTTTTTTTTTTTTTTTTTTTTTTTTTTTAGAATCCAATAACTATGAAATGCTAAAACTTTGGATTAGAACTTTTACTTCAGTGGTGACTGCCCCGCCCTGACAAGCCTGTGCAAGATATACTAGTAGAGCACTTGTAATATTTTCAAAGGATGTAATCTTCGTATTTTGCAGAGTGGAATGGTATTCTGTGTCAATAGATGATATGAACATTGGTTGGTTTTTTTTGTTTGTTTGTTTTCTATGATATTTGTTAGCATGTCTGAATATGATAAGGCTTCTTGTTCTGTAAGAGCATTTCCTCTTTTAAAATTATCTATAAAATGTAAGAATTGCTGTTTACTCTTATCTATGGAGGTTAGAATGCTATGTTTTCTTTTTCTTTCAGGAGCAAAATACTGTGTTTAGATGCTTTTAGGCACATATACTCCAATTGCAAATGGTACTGTGGGTATCTGTGTTACTTTACTGCTGGGCATAAGGACAAAATGTTGTAGATGGTAACATTTGGATTTGGGGGATTGGCTTTACTTCATTTTCTCTATAGTTACTTATATAATAGTATAAAATAATTGTTAAAGTAATCGATTGAACTCTGTATATGCAGACACAGACTGTATCACTGAGAAGCAGTAAATGGTAGTAGTAGGAATTGATAGAAAAACAGTAAGCTATATGCTTAGCTGGAGTAATAGATATAAATTGGTATTAGTAGAGTCTGTAACAATTTCCACTGACTGACATTTGGTTTTAGGAATTAGAGATTGACAAATTAACCTGGAATTACAGGCTCCTGCTCAAAAGTCAGGAGTGGGAGTTGGGAGGATTATGACACAGTATTAAGATTCCTGTGTATTCAAATATTGCTTAGCTCAATTAGGCAGTCTTATTTTTCTTTTATTCTTGAGTACATTTCTTTAGCTCAGGATTGCTTATAACCCTTAGCTGAAATGAGATTTCAGAGTGAAGTTGTTTTAAAGCCCCAGGACAATGATTTTTTCCCTTTCCTTCTCCACCCTCAACCACTACCATTCATTCTTTCCTGACATCCAACCTCAAAAAGATTCTGTCTCACTTAAAGCAAACAGAGGCAGTTTTAATTATTTTTAAAAGGTTTTAAAAAATACTGCTCTTGCCAAGAACTAAACAGAGCTAGGCTAAACAACTGAGTCTGACACAACCTTCTGTAATTCAGTTTCCACACTATTTTGAGCATTTTTAAAGTCAGTCAGCATTCTCTGGTTTGTACATATCTTCCCTTCTAAATTGTGAAGTGACCCTCGCTCTGCTGTCTTCTAGAGTTGTTACAGCTCCATGTGCAATGACAATATATTCTTCTTTCTATTATTGTCTGTCTCCTAAACCCACCACCCCATAAAGTCCTTAAGCTATGTAGTCTTTAATTGTTTTTATAAAAAAGGGTAACCACACATTTATTTATTATTCTGAGCATGTATTCACTCTCATGCTTTCTTTCTCCCAAAAGGAAAAAAGTAGCTTTTTTTTTTTTTTTTTTTTTTTTTTTCCAGTACTGCCAAATAGCCAAGGTCCTCCATCATTCCATGTCCTAAGCACAACTTTATCTATCAATTGGACACAGGCTACATCCCAACATTATCACTGGTTAAACCAGTTAATCCATCTTCCAGCTTTTTCACATGGACAATGAGGTATGAATTATTACTACTATGTGTAAAGATCTTGAAAAGCTTTAGATTTAAAACAAAACAAAAAAAAATGTGCAATGTACCTACCAGCATTTATGTGCTGGTTTGGTATATTATATACTGAAGGGATTTATGCAAATTAGAAGTCTATAAAAAAGTTGAACTAGTCATCATAGCTTATTCCAGTTATAACTATTTTATCACAGCTCAACAGAACTGAAACTTAATTACCAATTAAGGTAAGATTTCTAGCTGTATTTCTGTCTCTTCTGGGTTATGTTATCTCCCATTTTGAAATAAATTACAGGTGTAGGGCCATGGCCGCTCCTACTCTACAGCAAGGCCTTTAATAGCCTTAAATAGGATTTTTTTTTTCCCCTCAGTTGAAGTTTTTTGTGCTATTTTAGCTTTTAATGTTGTATCAGAAAGAACCTGTAAAGTCATCATATGTGCTCATTTGTAAATCAAATCTCTAAAATGAGGAAATTCAGGTCCAGTGCAGTATTGAACCGCTTTTCATGGCTATAAGCTAGCTAATAACAAAGATCCATGTTTGTTTGTTTGTTTACCTAAGACTTTTAACAATTCTAGATAGTGATTTCCTGTATGTCTTTTAATAAAAGTTTGCTGAAGGAGAGGTTTGTTGGCACTTCTTGAGCTGTGATCCGTACCTTCAGTTCACTCAGACATACAGTCTAGGAGCATCAGTCTGAGATGAAAAACAATGCAGACAGATTATAGGTTATTCTGAAGTTGTTTGTCTGATTTTTAGCAGCTGTGGTAGAAAAAAATCACTCAAATGAGTTAGTTTCAATTTTTTTTTTTTTTTAATTTTTTTTTTTTTTTTTTTTTTAATGGTTCACTCTGGAAACAGGGTAAGCAGTCCAGCTCTAAATTCAATGGGATTTGCTCACGTGCATACAAAAAAGGACACCCCAGTTTCAGATGACTGAGTAAATTAAACAGAATTCCTGCAGCTCGCACTTGAAAACAGATGCCTGGATTTCATGTGTTGTCACTGTAGGTGGAAGCACACTTAACCCAGTTAGTTAGCTTATGAAACTTAGACCTGCAACAGGGTAAGGAGAGCTGAGGTTGCCAAATGTAACTACAATTATAATGCTTCCCCACTAGAGCTGCTACACCCATGTGCTGAAGTTCAAGCTGGTGAGCAGTAACTTCAGTTGTAGATTAAGTACTCATATGCTTTGTCATTTCCTCTTCCTATATTAGAGCGGTTTGATCATCAGCTGATACTATTCAGAAGATTAGCAATTAACTACATCTCTCAATCTCTTTTAATTCAGATAGGCTTCAGTATTCAAAGCACAGACTCAAGTCTACAGATAGAAAATATACCTGTCATTCATAGCTTTTGTGCATACACCATCAACTGTATTGGGGGAGGGGGGGCGGAATCTCACTCAGTTTTTCTATTGCTTTGCTTCTTGTAGGTGTTACAGAACAAACCAGCTTCTGCACAGGTAGGTTTTTTTGGTTGAGATGTTGTTGAACACCATGTTGAGAGGAACTCCATCTAGACTGATGGAATGAAGAAGAGAGACACACTTCCTGCCAGCTCATGATGGAACAGATAATTTGGCTTCTTAAGTATTAATAACTTTTTATTAAAAGGCTGATTCCGGAGACAAGAAACAGGAATATAAAGATTTTGAGTAAATAATCTTAAAATTACTTCTATTAAGTCATCTATGCAAGGTTCTTCCAGAAATGCAATACCACTATGCTTAAAAAATGTAGTAAATAAACACTTAAAAACTGAATAACTGTAACTCTATGTAATGACTTTGTGTTAATATTTAACACAGTTAATAATTTCACACATCTGTGAAAGTCTAATTTAGATTAGCTTTGTGTCCATATTACAGCACAAGATTTGAATAAATGTAATATTTTATTGATCACAAACATAATACTTCAGCAATTAAAATGCATGATGATTCATATGAACAAAGTGAAAATAAAGAACAACCAAAAATTAACTTCACATTTTTTTTCCATTTCTTTCTTAGTGTAAGCAATAAATAGAATGCTATCGCTTCTATTAATCTTATTTACATAGTACAATACTTGAACGTTGCCTGGTTTCCAGCCCAAATGTTTCATGACATGAAAACGAGTACATGTTGCAGCATTTCTACAGCCAAATGCTGTAGTAGATCATCACAATGAAAAAAAAATGCATAGCATACATGCTAACATTAAAAAAAACAAACAACTGAGGGGACCCTGTAATGGAGCATTTTATTAATTGAAAACAGTAGCATTGAAAATAAACACTCCCTCTCATAGAAGACCAACATGCTGGTATTACAGATACCAAATATAAGACAAGTATTTCTGTAGCTCCTGCAGATCAATACAATAAATCCTCACTAAATAAGAAAAAAAAAAAAAAAAAAAAAAAAAAAAAAAAAAAAAAAAAAAAGAACAAATCGTAACAGATAACTGTTTGCATGTTCAAAGGAGTCTCACAATCCCACCAAAACAGAGTTTACTTCCATCCCAGAGAATACAGATAAGGACTACAACAACAGTCTGTAAAGTAGAATATAAGCCATGAGAAATCAGCATAAGGATCTGATTTTACTTCATTGTGACAGAAAAACATTTTAAGAGGCAGACCTTTCTCTTGGTTGTGTAGGAAGTGAAAAAGGAGAGGTAGGAAGACAAAATAGGGAATTTATATTTTCCAATGCAAAATTGGAAATAGGTTAGTTAATCTCATGAGGAGGGGGACAATGTAGCTCTCCTATTGCCATATAAACCTCCACAGCCAAAAACATTCCAGGGAAGGTTTAGACTGGATATTAGGAAGCATTTTTTTACAGAATGGGCTGTCAGACATTGGAATGGGCTGCCCAGGGAGGTGGTGGAGTCCCCATCCCTGGAGGAGTTTAAGAGTCGGGCTGACATAGCGCTGAGGGATCTGGTGTAGTTGGGAACTGTCAGTGCTAGGTTAATGGTTGGACTGGATGATCTTTGAGGTCTTTTCCAACCTAGATGATTCTGTGATTTTCTTGCACATCCAGCTAGATGTGTGTTTGTTTTCCAAAGTCAGGACAGATGTGTGCCTAGAAGCATGTCCACCTAAAAGTAGGATGATTTCTGTGGAAAAACAATTTTCCCTCCTAAATTACCATTGCAAGTTTCTCTGAGAGAGGACAGGGAGCAGTTAGCAACTAGAGCTTTGCACTAAATGATAAAAATCTATAGGCTACTGAATGTGAACTGCCTAGAGCTGAGAAGGAAGCTTAATTCAAGATCTAATACTGTATCACACTCTAAACCATCACATATGTTTTAATTACAACCACCCACCAGGTATCATTGAAATAGTTGTCTGATATGCCATAAAGGACTTCAGAGCACTTTTAGATGGATGGATACTTGCCTGGCCATTGATTCTCAGCTATTACCCCCTGATTCTGAAAATGGGACTCAAGATAGATTTATATCAATTGATGATCTGGTCCCCCAAAGTGTAAAGCTGCTGTACCAAAGCAGGGATTTTCCGCACCACTAATATTTTCAGAACATTGCACAGATTTCAAGTAACACTACACAGATCAGCAAGCAGAGTAGTAAATAACCTCTAATCATGTTGTAGCAGATATTGTGACTGTAGTCTTAAAATTTAAGAGATTGTGACACCCGATTGCTGGATTCCACACTATTCAGAATCCAACTGATTTTCAAATCATTCCGATCAACCAGCCAGCCTTGCAAAAGACAGAAATCTTGATTTGTGCACTCTATCTGAGATTCTATATTATAAAACTAAAGTATTAATAAAACACTGCCTAAATTCAAACTCCAGACATAAGAACTGTAAAACACTACAGAAAGGTGCAAGTGGTATGAACTTACCGCCTCCGCCTAATGTTTTCCTTCTAAATATAAAGCATTTAAAGTCTTATGAATTCATAACCTATTAAACACTGTAACAGCAAATTAACTAGATGCTAACGAAGCTTACGGAAAGGCTACTTAGAAAATTGTTTAAATGTCAAAATCAAGTTGTTCATATACAAAATGAAGTATTTAAAACCGAAGTGGTCTCAGAAAGAACTGTCTTTCATTTTCACTGGTTTACATGCACCAGACACACATTAATTAGCATAATAGTCCATCAAATCCAGCATCTACTTTTTGTTTTGTTTTGTTTTGTTTGGGTTTTCCCCACTTATCTGCAAAAGAAACTAATAAAACCTTTTTCTACTTTTGTGATTTTTAGTAAGAATTTTCTAAACTCATATCATGCCCTCATTCTTGAGCATTTTTGTAATTTCACTTAAGAAAAAACTATGATTTCTTTAAAGTATAAAGATTTACAAAAACATAAATTTCTATAAAGACATATTTCTTCAAGATCTTCCTGACAATCTCCTCATTTCCAGTGAGACCTTTATTTACCAGTAGAACCAAAAAAACAACTTATAAAATACTGTTCTAAGCTAGGTAACAGATAAGAGATTCAGAACCAAGCACTCCAAAATAATACTCTATTATTCTCAATCAATAATGTTTTGAACCTTTATAAGACAAACTTTATACTAGATTTTCCAAATAATGACAATTGCATTAGTCTGCTTGATTAGTCTGAATCTCATACACTGGTTTTAAAAGTAGTATGTCATTTGCACTGTGTTCAGTCTTGCATGCTTTTCTCAGTCAAAAAAAGCCACAAAATTAATCAAAACTTCCCCCTAGGAATGAAGGAATAAATTATGAAGCATAGGGCTAGGAAAATAGTTAAAATGAAACAACATCATTACAGCAAATTCTGTACGTGATCTTTTCTCAGTTGAGTAAATTCCTTAAGCACATGGTGAAGTTCCATCAGCTTCGATTATGTATCAGTGTCTGGATTTACTGCTATCCAGGTTACTGCTGTTCCTGGCAGTAAGGTCTCAGTGAGCTTGTCTGAGTTAAAGCCAATAAGAAACTTCCATAAACTGGAGGAGGAGACAACACTCCTGTATATGCAAAAGTAGTTTAAATAAAATTGCTCAAAGCTTGCTTTAAAATAGTACATTGCAGTAGAGAAGTAGAGTATCAGTGTCTCTATGCACTGGTGTCTCCGTGCTTGATTTAAAATAGTGGAAAAAATAGACTGGCCAAACAAAACCGTCGATATCTTTGACCAAACCAAACCATCAATATTTTTGACTCTTATCTCAGACTATTTCTTGGCCTTTTTTGACAGTCAAATGCTAGACTCAAAATTAACCTGGCCAATCTATTGTTATTATTGCACCTACTTTGATCATTTTCCTTTGTCCTGTTTTAGGTTGAATTAAGACAATACAGTATGGTATTTACACTCTAAAGATTCTATAGGCAAATTAAGTGGCTTCAACACATAAACAGTCTTATACAAACTTCCAAGAAAATAAGAAATCCTTCATTGATTCCCTTTGTACAAAAAATTGCCAACTTTGTCTACACAGTAGAAACTGAAGAGGCAAAGTTTGTATCCGTATATAAATGCACATATAGATATATATATGTACAGATGTCCATACTCTATAGATACACAGAAACACAAACATATGTATATATGCAAATATATACATACGAATGAAAAACATGTTGGTTTAGTTTGTGTCATTCAGGAGAAAAACATATCCTGTTAGGTAAAAATCTTCTGGCCGTGAAGTCATTAAATCAAACTTGGAGTGTGCAAGGTGAAGCACGCGAGCATATGCTGAGCCTCTGGCAGTCAACCATACAGCTTTTCAGTTTTTAAAACAACGCTCTCCATGTCATGGTAGCCCTTCCCATTTAAATGTTCGCTGGTGCAGTCATGATTGTAGCTGTAGCCTTGAACATCGCTGATTGATGACACAGTGTAGGAAGCGGTGCGCATCGCATCCGAGTGGCTGAAGCTGTGCTCAAATTGGATTTTGTACTGATTCCAGTGTCTTCTCAAAACGGCTTGGACCTATGCCAGAAAACAAGAAGAAATACATCTAAACCACTTGGAAAGATATCACTGACATTCTTTGATGTATGAGTGCCATAAATGTGTCTAAGCAAATTAGATAGTAAGGCTCAGAAATCCTGGAAAATGAGGGTACCTACAAGTGATCTGTCACATGAGAGATTCTGCGAGATTTACAATTTAAGTAGCCATCATTCTTTGGCAATTTTAGTGTGCAATAATTCCATTTTACAAGTGTAGTGTCCTAGTTGCTCAGGAAAAGAGCAGATTATAGGAGGAGCAATAGCAACATGATTTTCTGCTTTCTCCCATGTGGCCTGAAGTCCAGTGTGGACAGATCAGATTTATAGGTGAAAAAGGACATTTCTATTCAAAAGGCCATGTCCTCAGCAGCTGTACATTCTTATACTCTCAGCAAACCACAATTTACATTTGCTATGGTTCTAGCACAAGAAAGCCTTTCTTAATTTCTGACTATATCTTAATCAAATGACTAGAAGGACAATTTCCTGAACTTCATATTTCTACCAGGGTTAAAAATAAAGCTGATAAAATAGCTGAAGGTCCCAGCTGGTTTACATGTCTCCACTGAGAGGATGTTATGTTTATCATAGCCTTCCTCTCCTACAATATGGTTAAACACCTGTGCATACTGGATTGATGAAGTGTCACATTCATTAAATTCACATGGAATTAGTCTTTCAGTGAAAATGCCAAGTGAGGAATGCTAAGAATGGTAATTGCTATTGTTGTTGCTTTTTCAAGAGATCAAGAATATTTAATTATCTTTTCAGCCAAACTTTGCACACAAACTATTCCTGCATTGACTGGCAAGGCACTGACTTTCAAGAAATGCACCCCAAATCACAGGCCTCATTCACAAGCGTGACCCTTGTTTCACTTTGTTACGTGCAAAAGAACTAAACAGTGAACAGTGATTCCCCCAGTTAAATGTTCGTATTGTGGGTAAATATTTTTAGGATTTTCCATATGTCTTCAGAGGTGTTTTTTGTGTTAGCTTTACATTTCCCTAATGCAATGGCTTCTTTTGTTTGATTTTACTCTGGCTTTAATTATGAAAAATAAAAATAAACAGAAGGGATGTATTTTTTAGACTTCCTGCAGTCCAGTATCAGAATCATCTGTTTAAAAGGAGAACTTCACATTTCTTAAAATCCTTACAAAGAAAATGTTAAAGGGTAAGGGAAGAAGTATCAACTGATTAACAGAAGAAAGTATTCTAGCAAAAAGGAGATGCTCTTTGACTGTACATAAAACCATTGCAATCCACTCAACATATCTAAACACAAATCTACAAACACTGAAGAGAAATCAAGTGTCTTAATACTTCCGAGTATCTGATCTTATCGCTCTTCATATCAAAATTCTGTATTTCTTCTGAGTCTAAATGGAAAGTTCTTGTTTCATCACAGGAAGCTTTTGATTAATTAATTTGCAACATATAGCCTTAAATCTTCACACAGGTTGAATCCATTTCCTGTAATCCCTCATAAAGCCAAGAGAAGAGGCATATTCAAAAATTCCATCTTTTCTAAGAAGGAAGCTTGGAATTTATTTTTAAATCATATTGATCTATCTGTGCATATCACTAAGCTATGTTCCATTTGTTTGCTTTTCCGTAGTGAATTACCTTATTAGTGTTTTATTGTAGACAGACAAACACAAAATTATATATTGAGCAATTTTCACTTTAGACAAGATAGGCTTGAGAGAGCAAAATGCCAGCAACTGCAACTAAATGGCTTAACCAAGGTCACAGAAGTCTTATTGGCAGAGCTGGGAAATAAACCTGACTTGCCAAATTGCAAGCAAGCCTTACACTCAGGTCCTCTCCCACACTTCCTCCTGGTTCCTTCAGTAACACTTGTTCGTTCGTCTTATTTTAAGTTATTAATGATATTTGTAAACCAGTCTTACAGCATCTCAGCCTCCATAGCTCAAGAGAGCCATCAGTGTCCCTGCAAGACAAGTGCCTTTGGGCTACTTCGAGGGAAAAAAACCCCAGTCTGTTTAGTTTGCTCTCTGGCCAGTGACAGATTGCTATAAATAGTGTTTCCTGTATGGGCAAACAACGCTTCCTCTGTGCTCGCCTCTGCGCCCATCACGCTCTTGGGGCATTTTTATCCAAGCCATGTATTTCTGGCATTCTTCCCAAAGCCTCCCTGTTACTGCTGATCGGTATTTCACCTCTGTCCTACTACATGTCTTTTCTTGTAGGGTGTTACATGCTTTCATTTCTTATTACTGTCTTTCAGTCTTCTCTAAAATGTCCAATCAATCATTTGTAGAAGATAATGGAAAAAAAAAATCAACAAGACACCTAATTTTCAGCACTAATTATACTGTTTAACAACATCCATGAAGTGAAAACAGAACTTTTATCACTCTTTCCTCAGCTTTCGGCAATTGCACAGAGCTGTAAATTCAGCTTAGGAGCTTTGTTACCTTATTATAAAAAAAAGGGTATTAAGCAATCCATTTAATGAAAGAAAGTAATGTAATATAATTGTATTTCTTGGTCATTAATAGAGATGCCAGTTCCAGCTGGAAGATTGTTACTTTCTCTCCTTATTAGTTAGTAATAGTCCTTTCCATGAGTTTTCATGAAGGGCTCCTCCCAATCAGCTCTTTAACATAGTAGTAGCTTCAATCAGTATGTTCAATATAGCACAAATTAAACAGCTCAGTAGCCAACAAGGAGGAAAAAAAAAAAACCCCTAAAATGCAACACAACCTCGCCTACTGATAAAGGGTTCGTTATAATCCTGCAGGTCTGAAACGACAACCTTTACTGCAACATTTCTATAGACCCCTGGAAGGAAAGGAATAAAAAAACCCCAAACCCCACGAACCTTACATGGATAATGTAGGTCATTATTAGCACCTGTAATTAATAGCTCAATAGGAATCTTCCTACTGATTTATCAGAGATCTGGGACAAGCTTCTCTTCTGACTGCAGCCTGTGTCACCCCCCCCAAGCTGTTCTAGTCCAACTCAAACTGGAAAACATGATGAGGTAGTTGGGAAGGGGGGGATGCTAGGACATAAGCAGAATGTGATTGTCCTTAGGGAAGCCCTGGCACAGCAGATAGAGATGAAGAGTTTGCATATACGCCTTTATCTGCAGGAGGTTTGGGACAAACAGCTGCAGAGCCTGTTAGAACAGGATCTGACAGACCATCCCTGGCTGTGCTGCTCAAGAAGCCTGAAGATGTTCCTTGGCTACAGTCAGCAGGACATACCAGCTGCTTTTCTTACATTTCTTAGTTTCTTTTCTTTAGAGCTCTTCGCTGGCAGAGTACTCTTATTCCCTTTTTTTTTGCCAGAGGTGGCCTCCAAGCCACCACTTAAAACAGGGTTTGGCTCCTGATACTTCGTATAGAAGACATTAAAAGGTAGAGTAGCAGCTGGGAAATGCTAAGATTTAGACAGAAAGACATGAGTGCTTTTAGTATTTTTCATTGCTAATATCCCACTGATGTAATCTTTGCCCCACTGTCGGTGTCAAGTCCTGTATCAGTATTCCCCTTTGAACATCAGACGTGCTGCAGACACATGTACCACCGCTCTCTGATGCCTATCGTTTTCTACAGTCTAATGAGGTGTTGCCATGACAGATGATGATAAAGGAGCATCTTGTACACCAATGCTAAGTCGCAGTTGCAGGCTTTGTTCATGCATTGGTATGACAGGAACATACTCAAATGGCAACAGAATACACGCGTGCCTGCAGGCTCACATGTTGGGAGCGCAATCTTTTAGTAGATAAAGAAAACAATTTATTTTTTTCTGTGCATTTTTTCCTAACTACCCAGTCATTCTCCACATGGATTTCCTTACCAATACATTTGTTCATAAAGCAATAAATCCCTTAAACAAGGTGTAATGAAGGTCATTGAAGCACTGAACCCAAAATTGGTTTAAAAAGCATAAATTTCCACTCTACAGAGAGAAAACAGACACGTATGTTTAACTGACAAAGTCAAGGCAAGGGTCTAAAAATTAAATGCCTAAATTAATAAATGTTAAAATGGCTAAACCTCCCTTTTAACATTATCCTGATGGCAGCTGTTCAAGAAGTGATTAATCTGTTACCATTTGTGAGAGTTGTGGAAGAGTTTATCTTTTACCACTGATCACCCCATGGCAAATTCGGGATACTGAATTACTGGGATGACTCGGGTTTTCTTTTCTTACACAGCAAAAGAGAGCATGTAAAAAATATGAGTTTGTAACAATGAAATATTAACAGATACAATTCTTACTGATCGTATTATATTTTAAAATTAGACTTTCACCTTGTTTAAGTAATAAAGTAGCCTCAGAATATGCGCAAGGATTAAAAGGCAGAACTGAGCAGTGGACAATGTTGTTTCATAGAAACTGTAGAGTTTTTAGGGTTTTTTGGCCCCCATTTTGCACTGGAGCAGAACAAATGGTTAGATTTTTTTTTTTTTTTTTTTTCCAAAAAAACCC